GTCTTAAAAATAGAAAGAGAAGAAATAATCAGAAAGGTCAGAAGAATGAGTTATCAGAAACTAAAGAGGGAATATTTCAAGCATTGAATGAGGACAAAACAACAGGGTTGAATGATGACAAAAGGTGAAGTTGGATCACATTGTTCAATATATTGAAGTATTTACTGTGTCTCAGACACTGTTTAGAGAGTGTTTATCTGCATCAATCCTTTTCTCCTCACCAATGTTCCGTAGCCAGTAATCTAAACACAGAGCTTTCACATTTAATCATTGCAATAAAATATTGTCTGGTGTCCTTTGTGACATGTAGTTATGATCAGTCTTTGCTAGCATTCTTTTAGTGGGTTGGTGGATTTAAAAACCTGTTTCAATGAATTAAGAAGTGATTCAGAGGCAAAAACTGGGAGGCAACTAATATAGACAACTCCTGTGAAGGCTCACTGTAAGAGGGTTGAGGAGATGAGTCATCGATGTTGGAATAGAAAACATTGTTTTTATTTCTCTGTTTCCACTGTTTGAAGCCAGTGGGCCCTGAGCAAAGTAATGAACTAGTTTCCATTCTCTCCCTCCTTCCCACACAATTTGCCCTGAGGAAGTAGGAAGGAGAAACAGGGAAAAATGTAGAAATATGTGGTGGTGGTGATGTGTGTGTGTGTGTGTGTGTGTGTGTGTATTTAGAGAGAAAGAGTGAGAAAGAGAAAGATTTTATGTACATATTTATAGAGTAGCGGCTTGTCTCAGGGCAGGAGTCAACCCTGCACTCCTGTGGTTGTATAAAATAAAAGAATTGTTGGAAGCATTTGTTTCTCCTCTGACCCTACCTTAGGACTAATAAGGCTGGCCTCTACTTTTGCCCTAAACAACTCTAGTCCAGGTGTTCTCAGGAATAAATTTATCACGGTGCAGAAGCCCTCATTTCCTTATTGGAAGAACATGAGAAAAAACAAAACCAGTAGTCAATATTATATGCAGTTGCCTTCTGACTCTCTCCTTCTCCAAACTGGAGAATTTTAATCTAGCCTGGGCTACCTGAAGTTTGGTCTAGGACCAGCAACATAAACACCCTCTGGGAGGTGGTAGAAATGCAGAATCTCAGGTTGCACTAGGGTCTCCTGGAGTAAAATCTTTATTTTTTCATGGTGCCATAGGAATTTACTTGCCTCTTGTGAAGCACAGGTCTAAGGAGTCATCCTCCTGTAGCTGCTTCTTTCTGTGGGAACAAAGGATGGATTTGGACCTAAGAGTTTTTACAGAATATAAGTAGTTCTCTGGTAGGTCTTGTGTGCTTTGCATTATACACAGGTACACAAGGTTACCCTTGGGCTCATCTGTCCCATGCATATGGGAAAGACTAGCTGCCATAATTTCTTGTTTCACATTTTCTTATGTCTCTTAATATATTTGTTAGGATCTTAAGTTGCCAGTCTCTTTCCTGCAGCTACTCAGGGATAAAATCTAGAGTAAATCTTTCCCCATTCCACAGAAACACAGACACATATTTCCAGGGATTCCACATTTTATCTCCTGGGATAAAATATGCTCATGAGTCAAAATAAGACAGTGGAGGAGCACAATCAGTTAAAAATACTGCTGGATTACACATTTGAACAGAAGTAGAAATATTAGAACAGATGGACTACTTGTCTTTTTTTTTTGAGACAGAGTTTCGCTCTTGTTACCCAGGCTGGAGTGCAATGGCGCTATCTAGGCTCACCGCAACCTCCGCCTCCTGGGTTCAGGCAATTCTCCTGCCTCAGCCTCCCGAGTAGCTGGGATTACAGGCACACACACCCGTGCCCAGCTAATTTTTTGTATTTTTAGTAGAGATGGGGTTTCACCATGTTGACCAGGATGGTCTCGATCTGTTGACCTCGTGATCCACCCGCCTCGGTCTCCCAAAGTGCTGAGGTTACAGGCTTGAGGGACTACTTGTCTTTAAAATGGAATTGAAAGAGTATAAAAGAGAGGTATGCATTCAACAACGAAAGAATGCACATTTTATTTTAAGCACACATGGAATATTTATAAAATTGATTAGATATTAAGACATAAAAGCAATTTATATTTCAGAAAATAATTTTCATACAGATGATCTTTGATCACAAAATAATTGAGAATTAAATAATAAAAATTAAACTTAAAAAAATCATGGAATATGCCGGGCGCAGTGGCTCACGCCTGTAATCCCAGCACTTTGGGAGGCCGAGGCGGGTGGATCACGAGGTCAAGAGATCGAGACCATCCTGGTCAACAAGGTGAAACCCCGTCTCTACTAAAAATACAAAAAATTAGCTGGGCATGGTGGCCCGTGCCTGTAATCCCAGCTACTCAGGAGGCTGAGGCAGGAGAATTGACTGAACCCATGAGGCGGAGGTTGCGGTGAGCCGAGATTGCGCCATTGCACTCCAGCCTGGGTAATGAGCGAAACTCCGTCTTAAAAAAAAAAAAAAGGAATATTTAGAAAGAGAAAGCTAAGGCATGAATTTAAGAAGAAATCATCATGAAAATTAGAGAAATTTAAAACTGAATGATAATTAAAGCCATATGCATCAAAATGGGGAAGGGCTATAAAGTAGTATGAAGATAGAAAGTTACAGCTCTAAATACTTTATAAAGTGAAGAAGACAGCCTCAAAGTTAGTTATGTCTATATTTAAGATTACATGGAAAATCATAAACAATACACAGATATGTTATTTGAAATAATGAGGATATATGATGAATAGAGAAACAGTAATAAATTTATGTATATACATAAGCAATAAGCTACTAGAAAGTATAATTAAAAAGGATGCACTATTATGAGACTATGACTTAACATGAAATATCCAGAAATTAATTTAATGAAATATGTTGAAGATCTTTCCTGTGGAAATTATACAAGCATTATTGAGAGATACAATAGTATTGTTGAGAAAAAGACTTAATAAATTGAGCTGTAAACCATGTGTATATATAGAAAGATTTTTTAAATTGTAGAGATGCTGTTTCTTTTTAAATTGATCTCTGGACTCAATGCAATTTCAAAAGGATTTGTCAGGGAACTTAAGAAGATAATTGTAGAATATCCTAGAAGTAAGAGAGGGAGAGAGAGTGTGTGGAAGAATTAGAACAGTTACTATGACTTTTATGAAGTGGTGGCAAGTATTACATTGTGGTTGTGGCTCACAATAAGCAAACTTACCACCATAATGGATTCTGGAAACTGACCGATGCATGTATGTATTTAGTTGTATTGAGTAGGAAGAAATATTTTTTATGAAAAAATGTTGAAACTGAATTTCTACCTCACAGCATTTAGAATAATCTCCTCTATACAGATTTAGGAATAAATGTAAAAAAATATAATATATCATTCAAGCACTGGAAAAAGTGAGTAACTACTTTTAGACTTCAGTATACGAGCAATGTCTTAAGGCATAAAATAATTTTCTATAAAATAGATTACTAAACTTAAAACATTAAAATTAATCCCCTTTGTATATCCAAGGTTAATTCTGAAATTAAATGAATTTCAAATCTAAGTTGGAAACTCAACAAATATTCACAACACAGAGTTAAATTAGTATTAACAAAATAAAAGCACAAATAATACAATAGCAATATTGGCAAAAGATATAAATAGTCAGTTCACCAAAAATATATGTTAAGAAATACATGGAGAAAAGTTAATATTATTGGTCATGAGGGAATGCAGTTCAAGACCACAATTAAACATGATTTTATGACCATCCTATAGGAAAAAGTAAGAAATTCTGTCTATACCAAGCATAGGAAAAGTTGTGGATCTACAGGATCTGCTGCTGGGAAAGTGGATAGATGTAGCCTAAAGTCAGGAGTCACATATGCTGTGGTTTAACCATTTCATATCTAGGTACATATTCAAGAGAAATTCTTGCATATACTGATAGGACACATATAAGAACATTGATAAAAATGATTTTTATGACAGCAAAATCCTATAAGTGACACATTGATAGAAATGATTTTTATGACAGCAAAATCCTATAAGTGACACATTGATAGAAATGATTTTTATGACAGCAAAATCCTATAAGTGACTTAATTCTTTGGAAAAATGGAAGAATGAAAATGTGATATACATTCTTACAATGGAATACTATACAGGTAATCAATATGTGTAAGCTGCAATGAAACGCAGTAAAATATTAGCTCCGTAATTTAAGTGGAAGAAACATTGGGCTTGAAATACATTTTAGACCAAATGGACTAAGAGACAAACGTAGGACCTTCTCTCTAACAGTAGCACTGTAACATTCTTCTCAAGTGCACCTGAAACGTTCGCTAAGACCGATCATGTGTTGGGTCACAAAACAAGCCTTAACAAATTTAAGAAGACTGAAGTCATATCAAGTATATTTTCTAACTGCAATGACATGAAACTAGAAATCAAACAATAGAAATAAATTAGGAAAATTTACACATACATGGGAATGAAAAACATGCTCCCAAACAGCAAATGGATCAAAGAAGAAATTTAAAAAGGAATTAAAAAATATCTTGGGACTAACAGAAATGTAAGCGCAACAAGACAATTTATGGGATGCAGCAAAAAACAGCTTGAAGAGGGAAGCTTATGGCAGTTAACACCTACGTAAGAATTAAATAAAAAGAAAAAGAAAGCTCTAACACAATGTAACCCTATACTACAAGGAACTAGAAAAAGAACAAACTAAACCCAAGTTAGTAGAAGGATGGAAACAACAAGGATAAGAGCAGAAATATATAAAATAGAAACAAAAAAGAAACAGCAGAAAAGCTCAATGAAATTAAAAATATGTTTTCAAACCTAAACAAAATTGATAAAAATTTTAGTCTAAGAAACAAAAAGAGAAAAGACACAAATAAAATCAGAAATGTATGAGGAAACATTGCAACTGATACCACAGGAATACAAAGAATCCTAATAGACTGCTATGAACAATTATATGTCATCAAATTAGTTAACTTAGAATAAATTCCTAAAAATGTGCAACTTACCAAACTGAATCCTGAACAAATTTGAACTGACCAAAATGGGTAAGAAGATTAGTCAGTAATAAAAACCAACATCAAGGAAAAGCCCTGGACCAGATGGCTTTGTTGCTGAATTCTACCAAACAAACTTTTAAGAACAAATGCCAATCCTTTTCAAAGTCTTCCAGAAAATTTAAGAGGGGGAAATACTTCCAAACTGTTTTTATAAGTTCAGTATTACCCTGGTAACAAAGTCAGACCAGGACACTACAAGAAAAGAAAATTACAACCTCATATCCCTGATGAACATAGATCCAAAAATCCTCAGCAACAATAGTAAATAGAATTCACTAGCACATTAAAAAGATCAGTTACCAAAATCAAATAGGATTTATTCCTGGGGGGTAAGGAGAGTTAAACATATACAAACCAATAAATGTAATGCCACGTTTACAGAATAAAGGGCAAAACTATATGATCATCTTAGCAGATGCAGAAAAAAGCATTTGAGAAAATTCAACATCCTTTCATGAATGAAACCCTCAACAAATTATGTACAGTAAGAATGTAACTTAACACCATATCGAACAATTCCATGGGTAACATCATACTTAATGATGAAAAGTTGAAAGCTTTTCCTCTAAGATGAGGATTAAGGCAAGGATGCCCACCCTCACCACTTCTATTCAGTGTAGTGCTGGATGTCCCACTCAGAACAACTAGGCAAAAAACAACAACAACACAAACAAACAAAAGGCATCCAAATCAGAAAGGAAAAAAAAATTGTTTGCTGATGACATAATCTTGTATATAGAAAATGCTAAAGATACCTTCAAAAAACTGCTAGAACTAGTAAATGAATGTTGCAAGTTACAACAACATCCAAATGTTGCAGCATTACTATGCACTAACTATCTGAAAAAGAAATCAATAGCTAATTATAATAGCTAAAAATACTTAGAAATAAATTTAACCAAAGAGGTGAAAGATATGCGTACAAAAATTGTAACACATTGATGAAAGAAATTAAGGAAGATGCCACTAAGTGGAAGAATATACTATGTTCATGGACTAGTAGAATTAATATTATTAAAATGTCTATACTACCCCAAGGGATCTACAGATTAATTGCAATATGTATCACTATTTCAAAAATATTTTCATGAAAAAAGAAATTATACAGTTTGTATAGAACCCCAAAAGACCCTGAATAGTCAAAGCAATCTCAAGCAAAAAGAGCAAAGCTGCAAGCATCACATTACCTGATCTCAAAATCTACTACAAAGCTGTAATAATCAAACGGCATGATACTGGCATAAAAAAAAAAAAACACATGACTAGGCCAATGGAATCAGATAGAGAGCCCAGAAATAAACCCACACATTTACAGTCAATGGACTTTCAACAAAGATGCCAAGAACACAAATGGGGAAAGGATAGTCTCTTTAATAAATGGTGCTGGGAAAAATGGATATTCACATGCAGAAGAATGAAATTAGATCTTTATCTCATACCAGATAGAGAATAGAAAATGATACTTTCAAAATAACATTAGAATAAGAAAATATACTTTTAGTAATATATATAGAGATAATAATGTATATTTTAAAAAGCACAAAATGATAAACAGAAAATTCAGACTGATGCTACATCAGACAGGGAGATTAAATATTTAGATGTAGGTCAAGATCCTACCATTTGTTTTGTTTGGAGGTATTAGATATGCTTATAACATTATTTAAAATAACATACTAAGTAGCTAATTAAGTAAAATAGGCTCATGAATGGACTCATGATGAGAGTAGATAATGAAACAGGATCATAATTAATCGAATTTGGTCCTAACTGAGGTCTAAAACATCAACAATAATACCAAAACCAACAACCTCTAATCAGAAAGAATTCATTGAGAATAAAAGTTCACATATGGCGACAAGAGATATCTATTGAATTACCCTTAAGAAAAAAAAATCAAGAGAGATTTAGATCCATATTGTATGTGAAAGAATTAGCCTCTGTGGGAAGAGGCAGCTCTATTTTATTGAAACAGAAGGGAAGTATGACATTCTAAGAGAAGGTAAGTTTGCCTGTTTGTTTTATGAAAGATTCTGAAGTATTGAGTACTGGAGATGGGAAATTTAGGATCTCCACTATCTGACAATTTGTGTTCTCATATCATGGAGCTAAATTAGATAATTTATGTGCATTTAGTTTGCTTGTGGTAGCCTGGGCCTAACTACTAAAGAAATGGCACATCAGTCCATATACATACAAAAATATTCCTGATAGGGGGGAAAAAAACAAAAAAGGTTTAAAATTAAAATATGCATATGTAAATTTTATTTTAAAGTGTAAAAGTTTTAGGTGGAAATGATTTAAAATAGTCAATTGCAAAAATGATTATTTGAACTAAGATTGCTGCTGAACTGTATTTGCATGTAAATTAAAGGAGTAAAGAAGTAAATATTGAATGTTTATTTTATATTTAAAAGGTGAGTGGCAAAGCTTCAGGCAATATGAGCTTTACTTTCAAATTCTGTCATATATTTATGTATTAATGATATCAAGCTATCTATACAGTTAAGAACTTATAAAAGGTTAAATTACCTTCAAACAATATTCTCAGGATCAATCAGGCATTTAAATAGATATGCAGATGAAAAAAAGGGAGACTTTTTTTTTAAATTATTTTAAAGAAAGCAAAGACTGTTTAACATGTATCTTGGTGCTTATTTCCAAAAATTCCAACAAGGAATATAACAAGTTTACATCATATTATTAAAAATGTTTTCTCAAGATATGATAAATTATTCTGTGATATGTCTTATGTTTTGTTTAAAATAAAAAATAACATTTTACATTAAATTAGGAGGACTTTATTCCTAGCCATCTATTTTTGTGTTCAAAAAATTATAACTCATTAAGATTATTACTGTGTTGGTGAGAAAAAGGAGTCTCATTAAATCATCATGTCTAGTCCAGATGTAGTTAGCAAACTATGTCTTTTTAAAATTTTTTTATTTTTATTTTTTGTGGAGACACAGTCTTGTTCTGTCGCCCAGGCTGGAGTACAACGGTGTGGTCTCGGCTCACTGCAACCTCCACTTCCTGGGCTCAAGCGATTCTCTTGACTCAGCCTCCCAAGTAGCTGGGATTACAGGCATCCGCCGCCACACCTGGCTAATTTCTGTATTTTTAGTAGAGACAGGGTTTCACCAGGCTGGGCCTGAACTCCTGACATCAGGTAATCCACCCGCCTTGGCCTCCCAAAGTTCTGGCATTACAGTTGTGAGCCACCTTGCTCGGCCAGCAAACTGTCTTAACGGCAAAATTCAACTTTCTTTTTGAGCAGTTCACTATTTAAAAAATGATTTTTGCATTTCTAAGTGGTTGAAAAAGTCTGGAGCATAAATAACATTTTGTGACACAAGAAGGTTATAGAAAATTTAAATTTTAGTGTTTATAAAAAAACTGTGGGCACACAGCCATGGCTATTTCATTTATTGTTTCTGGCTGCTTTCCACCACTGTGGAGTAGCTGCAACAGAGACCCGATGGCCCGCAAAACCCCAGATATGACTCTCTTGCCTTTTACAGAGAAAGTTTGCCTATTCCTGATGGAGGGGATTCAAATTTCAGATGCTGCGATAAAAAATATTAAATTTTTAACCAAGCTTTCTTATTACAAAAAAAATGTGTCATTTAAAGTATTAAAGGTATCCCATTATTTGCCTGTGGAATGCCCTTTTATTCCTTAAGTTGCTAAGTTTCAATATTAGGACCTCTGGGCTACTACTTTATGTTTCAGAGTTGAAAATTACAATGGTGGGTTTGTTCCTATAATTTTATGTAGATACTTCCTGAATCAATTTCTCCAACCCAAATGTTTGTATCTGTTTCTAACCACCTTCTTACTCATTTCATTACACAATAAATTTTTCCTCTTTTAGCTATAATTATTACCATCCGAATGTACCTCCATTTCACAATGCGTGTTATCTTCATCAGCTGGCCTTTCCTATTCTTCGTTACTGTTATTTTTTTTTTTAACAGGGTCTGGCTCTGTTGCCCAGGCTGGAGTGCAGTGGCACGATCTTGTCTCACTGCAACCTCTGCCTCCTGGATTCAAGCAATCTTTTTATCTCAGTCTCCTGAGTAGCTGGGACTACAGGCATGTGCCACTATGCACATAAATGTTTTTGTTGTTTTACAACCATTTTTACATAATTTTTTTTTTTGGAGATGGAGTCTCACTCTGTCACCCAGGCTGGAGTGCAGTAGTGTGATTTTGGCTCACTGCAACCTCCGCCTCCCTAGTTCAAGTGATTCACCTTCCTCAGGCTCCTGAGTAGCTGGGACTACAGGCACATACCACCACTCCTGTACGTGCCTGTAGTCTTTTCCCACTTATTTTTATTGTAACTTAGTTTAGATGTATTTATAAACCACCATATAACCGTACTAGAACATGTTATGTTATAAATAAAGAACTCAAAATACACAAAAGTAATACATTTACTGCATGCCAATAATGTATAAGGAATTTTCTCTAGATTATATATAATTTATTTATCACACGCTGGTAATAATAGCTATCATATATTCATGGATAAAAACAAGTTTTGTGAGCTCGAAAGCTCATATAAGAGACATTTCTAAATTAAAGTAATATAAAGCTATTATTTTTGCAGGCATTACCAAGTCACAGGACCATGTTAACTCATTGATGGGGCCTCAGGCAGGGCCCTGGAAGGGGTAGGTGCAAGCAGGGGGCCCTGACATAAACCTCCTTAGCTGCAAGGTCAATTTCCCTCTGTGTCTATGGACTGCTTATGCTGCGTAAGCCACTTTTCATGCACTGTCCTATGAAATGTTAGAACAAGCTTCCAGGGAAATTAGCTGAGAGAAGTAATTTATATTTGTCAATGCCAAGGGGTTGCTATACAGTAGATGTGTATTTGAACACTAATAATCACACCTATTTATTAAAACTATATTAATGGGCCCCTTATGTGTCAGGCATTGTTGTAAGACTGGCATGCTGTGACAACCCAGGCAGCTGTGGTCCCTATTCTAATGAAGCTTCTTGTGTTATTTCTATCATAGCAGTTGGTCATTCAATGGCTT